TTTGACATTTTACAAATTTTGGCTTGCCCTCGGCAAGCAGCTCGCCCAAATTTAGAGTGCACTTCAAAGTGAACTGCAAATTTATTTCAATGTAAATGGATATGTGCTACCGCCATATGACAAGCATGTCAATTTCAAGACAAATTGGACTTCGAAGTGAATGTAAATGCAGCAATAGAGTTTTTCTCCGAATGACAGTAAAAGCGGCCCTTTAATGACACTTGACAGGATCAAAAGTTGTATTTATACTGCCTAGGCAGTAAAAGTGGACTTTTACTGCCTAGGCATTAAAAGTGACAGTGTCACAACATTCCAGGTAATAATTTCACTCAATTTGGTTTTTGAAATTGATGGTGACAATGACAATTGTCAAAATAATTTAATTATTTCGATAATAATAATGAATGAAATAAATATAAAAAAAGATGTCCATGTGTGAATTTGAACATTCGGAGAAAAAATTATATGTTTTACATGGCAGAAAAGCAGATTTAATGCCTCGGCTGGTTTCCTAGCCTCGGCTACGCCTCGGCTATGAAACACCAGTGCTGTGTACTTTTCTGCCTAGTGAAACAAATAACTATTTTAGTACCTATTTGGAAGTACCAGTCGTTCTAGTGACTTAACGTATGTCGGTTCTTGAACACACAAATAAAAATAGGGTGGGAATTTCCTATATGCACATGAAATTGACGTATTAGCAATCGTCGTTCGTTTTTGTTGGTAATTTTTTGTTTCATCTGATTTGTGATTGATAAATAGGGATGAGATTATTCTAAATGGGTATTAAAAATACCAAAGTGTTCCTGTTAGCGAGGATTAAAGTCCATTTCATTTTTCACCAGTCCGCCTGGGCTTCGCCACGTCCACTTCCTTTGAGTTTGTTTTTGGACATATCAAATATGCATATCACTCATTAAAGGTCAAATAATAAACTATCATGTAGGTGGAACAAACCAAAACTATGGGAAGACTTAAGAGGGGCGTCAGATAAGAGCCAGCACGCCATCTTTTGGGCTTTATGACATACATTAAATATTTTTTAATCACAGGTGTTCAAATTCTCTGTAAGTGATTGACTAATTTACAAGTAGATGGCGACATCTTCAATATCAATTCGTTTACACAGTAATTTACAGTGGACTAATTTTATTCAGATACAAATGAAACAATAGTATTTCACATTATTAGCTAGGTTGAACAGTTTTTACTGGCGTTTGAAAGAAGTTATTATGCTTCCCGAACTCAGCGACATCTTTTAAAGAAGCGCTGAACAAACGTTTGGTTTGAGTCTTTGCTAAAAATGACAGCAATCACCTCGTTGTTTGACAGATTTTGATTAATTTTGTGATACAAAAATTATAATTTTCGAAAATTCTGTTCTATTCATTTTTTCCAGCATTTTACTATCCGAAATTTTGGACATTTATTGTTGGTGTGCTACTCTATATGTTTATCCCTTTTTCATTTAAATCCGTGACAAAAATTTGCATATTGTTGTCAACAAAATGGTAATAATTTTACTATTTAGAATGCGTATTTTGCAACCAAAAATGCTTGAACTTCTACTCCAATCTATCATTGTTATGAACATAGCTTCATTCCACTGAAAAGTGGTCTAAATTTGGAATTGAGCAGGTATTAGTGAAGGTCTGTAAATGACATTTTATTTAAACGCCCCTCTTAAGAATAAGGTTTAAAGAAATCAAAAAAAAAAACACATTGACAAAGTCTACACCCCAATTTTTGCCAGAATCGACCACAAATACGAATGGGTTAGAGCTGAACCAAAAAAAAAAAAGAATCTCGATAAAAGAGTTTCACCCAAAAGCATAAACACGCCTAGTATCAATTCCAGAAATGTACTACCGTTTACCAAGGTCCCAACCTCCATAATCGAAAGAAAGATTTACCTGACGTTATGCAAATACAAGAACTACATGGAGAACAACAAAGCTTACATTCCGCATGTACTACCATAAATCCACAAAACCGACATGCTACACCAGTTCAAGAGATTCACCAATGTATAACCTAGCAAAATTTATCCTTCCTATTTTTAAACCCCTGCAAGATAACAGCAAGGACTTTCTAGAACTACCAACCTTAATCGACAAGATCGCTTGATCAGCTCTGATTTTAAAAAACTTATACACGAACATGTCCATAACAAAAACTATAAGCGTCACGAAAGAGAAAGTTGAGAGAGACTCACTAACACACTAAAAGAAATCTGATATGATGAAATGTAGCTTAGAACCACAATACCAATAATTCTTCGCAAAAAAAGATGGTCTTTCCATGGTATCATCGCTGTCACCCGGCATCGTGGCCAACACACATACATGAACTGGTTCGACGAAATAAGGTACCTGACCCAAATAAGGCCATGTACCTAATAAGGCCAGTGCCCCTTATTGCTTGATATTGAATCTCATCGTCAAAAATTACAATATTATTAAAAAAGATATCTATATTGCAAATCAAAAATTACTGCGAGTATTCCTAGCAACTCGTTATATGTCGAAAAACGGCTAACCACAGATTTCATATGTCACGTTAAAACTTTGAGGCTGGAACTTAATTAGTTTATACACATGTTCATAAAGGGAATGGAGCGAATGTAATTTTCACACGGACATTTATATATTGAGAAAGCTACAGAGTAAGTACAGAATAATGTCTTTGCTAGATTTCTAGTTACAGATTTTTTTTTATCAATGTAACATGTTCCTAATAAAGCCTTATGAAAAATTTTCAATTGGCCTCACATCACAGTGTTTTTTTGAAAGAATGTGTCATATTATTACTTAAGTGATGTGTTTTAGAGCACCTGGAGTCTAACCAAGCAAGAAAAGCTGCGGTTCATTTGTCCTAGTTGTATGTAGACCTATTTGAATCACCATCCCAGGACTTGAAATTATTGTTTTTTTAGAATGCAGCAAACGTTAAAGTTCTATTTTGAGAACTTCTTGTCAAAAAATTATATTTTCATAAATGATTCTATTTATTTTAAACATTTTTTATTGGTGGCTTTATTAGGAGCATAGTGACCCAAATAAGGCCAATGGTAAGGGTCTTTGTTTTATGCAAAAACCACCACTTATATGTAAAAATAAATAAATTGAGGTTAATATTCAAGTAATAGAAGCGAAACACTTCACATATAAGCTCGTGATTTTTGTTGGGTTTGGTGGATAGTGTTCGGAAAAAATAAAACTTCTTAACATGGCCTTGTTTGGGACAGGTACCTTATATCGAACTGCAAATCTGAAACCTAAATTAGGGCTGTGATATGTCGATAATTAATTAATCGCATGGAACCATGAAAAAGTCACATCATCATCATCATAAATCAGCCTTGTCTCGTCACCTGCTGAACATAGGCCTCTCTTAACCTAATCCATCTTGCTGGGTCTTGGGCATCTTGGATCCATTTGGATCCCATCAGTCTATCGAATCGGCGGTCTACCCCGGCTTCTGTGTGCAGTATCTCTAGGTCACCACTCCATTATCTTCTTCGTCCACCTATCTGTCATTCTTGCGGCGTGGCCTGCCCAGTTTCACTTTAGGTGTGTTATTCTCTCAACAGCATCTACAACTTTAGTTCTTTTACGAATCTCTTCGTTGTGGATTCAGTCTCGCAACGTCACCCCCAGCATAGCTCTTTCCATGGCTCGTTGGGTAACTTCTTATTTTGTTGATCGTTTTTTGTATCAATTATTGATCAAGAATTTTACGCTTGATGCACACTGGAATGTATGATTTGAATACATGCTTCAACCGGCCGAAGGTAGCTTATGTTAGTCCTATTCTTCGGCTTAGTTCACAAGTTTGGTTATCTCTGCCGATTCGAATTTCATGTCCTGGATATTTATAGGATGTTACGTGTTGGATTTCTTTTTCTTCTATTTTGAGATTACAGCTAGGGACCAGATTTGTCATAAATTGGGTTTTCGCGATGTTGATTTTTAATCCTGATGACAGTTTCGTGAGCATTTCATTTGCTTCATCTAGCCGGTATGAAATCAGTAGGATATCGTGAGCGAAACGCAAATGGTTTCTCCATTTATGTTTATTCCCTTATTGTCCATTTCTATCTTTCCAAACATGTACTCAAGCAGAATTGTAAAAAGTTTGAGAGAGATCGTATCCTCCCTTTTCAATTTTAAACTGGTTTGCTTCATCACGCAATCTTACTTCTGCTGTTGCGTGTTTATATGTGTCGCAGTAGCGAGATATAACGGTGGTCTATATGACAGTTGGCAAGAGCTTTGAACAATGCGTGGTGGTCTACGGAATCGAACGCCTTTTCATAGTGCACAAACGTTGGCACCAAGGGTTTGTTTTATCCTACACTTTTTTCTATTAATGACTCTATAACTTGAAGGTGATCGTTTGTTCCGAACCCAGCCTGGGTTCTTATTCTTGAAACAGAGGAGCAACGTTCCCAGAAAAACGAGTGTTTCGTCTTCTCAATGATATGGAAATGATAATATAAGTAACAGAGACAGAACACTCGTTCTTCTGGGAACGCTGCTCCCCTGTTTCAAGAATAAGGACCCTGAAAGCCCGCTTGTTCTCTTGGCTGATATGATTCTAATTTATATTAGTAAGACGTGCAGTAATGATTTTGGTAAATAGTTTATATAGATGTGTGAGCAAACTAATCGGTCTGTAGTTTTGCAAGTCTGTGATGCTGCCTTTCTTATGCATAATAATGATGGTGGCATCATCTCCGAGGTTGTTACGCTTCGTCAAGACATTTATTAAAGAGTTTAGTTATCACTTTGAATAACTTTTTTCCTCCTAGTTTCACAGCCCCTGCAACAACACCATCCTCGTCCAGTGCTTTATTGTTTTTCTTTTCTGAGAGTGACCTTGAAACCTCTTCTTTGCTTATCGGTGACATTTCTTCTGATCCCTGATTTAATATATGGGGTATATTTTCCGGTGTTTATCTCTGGCCTTTGTTACTATAGAGTTTTGTATAGAGGTCTTCAACAATCTTCAATATTTCCTTTCTGTTTTTTGTTACTTGTCCTCTTCCATTCTCTAATTTGGTTATTTTGGTCTTTCCTATGCGCTGTGCTTAGTTCATTTCGTAGTACCCTCATGCTTTTAGTTTCTTCCATGCCCTTAGTGACCCATTTATTGATAAATTTTCTAATGTCAGCCCTCGCAGCTTTCGTTATATCCTTATTTAGTTGTTTTAGCTCGTCCTTGTTTTGTGGGTATTCCCCCAGTAATTTTCTCCTCTGTTTCATTAGGCATTCCTGGTTGACGTCATAACCGATCCGCCATTTTAGCTGAGGGGCAAACAAAAGCCAAACATAACCTGATTTAATGTTATTTTCAATGCAAACCGAGAATTTTTTAAGTATTATTTTGTGAAGATGCCTTCGTTTTGTGGCGTTTTTGGGTGCTCCAATAGAGCTGAAAGGGATAAAGTGAGGTTTTTTAGGATTCCAGCAGCATTTAAAGATCGAGAGGATCGCATAAACGAGCTATCAAAAAAACAACGGAGTATGTGAATTAGATGCCTCAATAGGGGAGATTTGCCTGTAACGTTGTTAAAAATGCTCGAATTTGTTCGAAACATTTTGTTAATGGTAAGTTTTATGACTGTCTTGTTGTTAAAATACAAAAACATTTCATCTCGGTACATCAAAAAAGTTGTTTATGTTTCTACAAGTAGGTAACTTTTAATACCTTTTAGGTAGTCCAGCAGAATTTAAGGATACAAACAATCCGGATTGGGTCCCCAGTACAAATTTAGGATATACTACGATAATTGATAGAAGCTCAGAATGAACAAGCGAGTAAGCTAAGCTACATGCCAGATCTGTGCACCGATCAGAACAGTCAAAACGTTTGAGGAGTCATTCTACCACAAATTTATTTTGCTAAAGTTTATTTGTAAGGTTGTTAGTATCAAACTTTTTTATTTTTTAAACAATTTAGATTCTTAAGCATTATTTTTGTTAATAAATTGTTTGTTTACTATTGTTCAATAGACCTATCTATTTTTACCTGTATGCGCGCGCAATACGAGGCAATGCATTTTTATTGGCTAACTAATACAGGTGAGAGGTGTTTGTTTTGCATGCTAGGCATCTCCTTGTCTTTGTTCATTGTCCGTGGTCAAGGATCAGAATTATGGTTGATAAATAACTTGACGTAGCTTGACAAGTGATCGATTTTCAATTGTTTGTGTTTTTGATTGACAAATACGTTGCACGTTACGCGGTTTTCCTCCATCCCTTTCTATCCCGTGCAAATAATAAGAAGGGATTGCTATACATAAGTCTAACATGGTTTGGTACGTTTTGTCTCGTCTTGCGCAATAAGCGTTCTGCGTCTTTTTCTATGTAATAAAGTTTTCGTATCATTACCTCTTTATCTGGTAAAATAGATAGGTCTATTGAAATGTAAAGTGGCATGTCTGTAAATAAAGATTCATTCATTCATTCCATTCATTCAGAAAAACTTAAAATTTATTGAATAAATCAAAAAACGCAAAAATTTCAAAGCACAAACTCAAAAAACATTGTAAACAATGATCTATAGGCTTTGTTTGCCCCTCAGCTAATATGGCGGACCTGTCAAAAGTTACGTGACCTGGAATGCCTAATTAGTTGTTTGGTATTAAAATTCAAAGTCCGTTTTTCTTCTTTTTCTAGAGGCTTCGAGCAGTGTTTGCTTTGGGCTATGCTGATTAACTCCACAATATATCTATCTAAGATCTTCGATGTTCATTGAATCAGGGTTTTTCAGATTTTTATCTATCATTTTTCAATATCCCTCAGCGTCATCTATATTGATCCATTTCCTGTTGTTATTTTTATGTATAAGTTTTCTGCATTCGGCTCTTAAGTTTAATGACAACGTCGCTCTCACCATTCTGTCAGTACCCACTAACACACTATTTAGTACCGTTACATCTGCGACTATGCGTTTTTTGTCTGTAATAATAAAATCAATCTCGTTTTTAGTCAAACCATCCGGACTGGTCCATGTCCACTTTCGATGGTCCGCCTTTTCAAAGAATGTGTTTATGGCAGTGAGTTGATGGTGGGACAGAAACTGTAGCAGGAGATTCCCTCGTTCGTTCCTTTCTGCAACACCATGTCATCCCCAGTGGTGTTTCCGTTTCATTTTGTTTCTTTCCAAGTTTGGCATTGAAGTCTCCGACTAACATAGTAAAGTACGCTGAAGGACTTGAGATTGCTTGAGTAAAGTCCTCGTAGAAGTCTTATCTTTGTTCGAACTTTGGGATGTGGGTGCATAGGCTTGGTTAATCTTGACATTGTATCGTTCATTTAATTTCAATATTAGAAAGCAAACTCTGCGGTTTACACTGCTGATCCAACTATATTGTGTACATGTCGCCTATTTATCAGAAATCCCACTGCTCCTACAGAGCTGTTTTCTTTACACTTGTGGTAATACATATTTCCTGAATTCAATATTGTTTTTCTCCTCTTTTCGGGATTTCGCTTATTCCGATTACATACCATTAGTTCAAGTTCTTCTAGTTTCACCACTTTCTCGTCAGATGAAAAGGTTCTCGTATTATATGTCGCAATATGCATTTTTAGGCTTCCTCGGTAGCCTGATCTTACCCGGGGATTCTTAGCACCCTCCAATCGCTGCCTTTTCCAACTGCTACCTTGGTCGGAGACTTGCGATCTTCCGGGGACTGAGTTATCTATCTAGCAGGGTGCACCGGATAGTTGGGTACCAACCACCACTCGTGCAGGTGAGGTTGACACTTGGACTGGTCTTATCCTTTTGCCTTCATCCCTTGCACCCCTAGAAAATCGTACCATCCAATTAACCATGGGAATCGAAACAAATGACTTGTCGTAACCTCTTACATATAAAATTATCCAGAGAATTTTGATACACCATACACTGCCGGCGTCCCAAAGGCACAATTTTGTCCCCAACACTGTTTCTATTTTTTATTAATATTTGTTAAATGTGGCAAGAAACGGACTGGGACTTTAACAGCCTAGTCAAATTAAATGCTCAAATTCAAGTTACAGTACCTATTCTCAAATAAGAAATCTTTCGCCGATGATAAACCAGATTTAAAGATGTCGGGACAAACCATCCTATCAATCCCTCAGTATCTCTTCTTGTGATGACCGCATCCACCAAATTGTCTTGGATTCACCATGCATCTTCGATCGTCAAAACCGCTATTTTAATAAATTGGATTTTTTGTTTCGTGCATAAAACTTTTTCACTTCTAAACAACTTCGTCTCATTTATAATAAGGCTCAAATCAGACCATGTATGGAATACTGTTCCCACATCGGTGGCGTACAGTCCACCCATGGAACTTCTTGCCTCCTACTTCATTCCCTGAACTATTAAACCCTAACGTGTTCAAACGGAGGATTAATTCATTCTGCTCATGGTACCGCTCAGGTAATATAGACTTTTTTTTTTTTTTTTTTTTTTTTTTACGGATATGCGCACTCGCAAGGAAATGTCCTATCACGCTCGAGAAGCGGCAAGTGCGCGGAAATGTCGGTGTATGTTGGTCTTGAAACGGTTCAGGTTGTAACCTGCAGGGAAAACCGTCGTAGGGAGTTTATTCCACAGCGATGCTGTTCTCCAGAGATATGAATTCTGATATAATGAGGTTCTTGGTGCCTCTAGTTTGACAGTAAATTCATGGTTACCGTCTGTTTGACGGGTTCGCCTGGTAGGTGCTACTCTCGGTGGAATCATACGTGCCAACTCTTCAGAGCATTTTCCGTGATAGTACCTGTAGAAGAGAGATAAATCGCCCACCGTTCTGCGATGTTCGAGATCATCCAAGTTACGAGTAAGTGCGGGGTCATTGATCAGCTTGATAGCTCGTTTTTGCACGGTATTCAAAAGCATTAAGGTATGTTTGGGTGCTGCACTCCATATATGTGAGCAGTACTCCATAGTTGGTCGAATCTGGGCTTTGTAGAGTGTCAGCAATTGGCTTGGTGTGTACAGATGTCTTGTACGAAATAGCACCCCCAGCTTTTGGGAGGCCCTTTTAGCAATATCTGCCACGTGACTGTGCCAAGACATGTTGGTCTCTGCAGTAACCCCCAAGATGTTCAACTGACTCTGTAATGTGACAGCACTTCCAGATAGCATGATGTTTGGCTCACCGGTGCTGGTCTTTTTTGAAAACAGAGCTGCTTGGGTTTTCTGCGCGTTGAACTGTACAAGGTTTTTGTTACCCCAGTCCTCTATTATCTCCAGGTCGTTATTTATCTGCGATATTTGAGTTAGTCTAAGATGATGGAATTCACGTGCGGAAAGACCTGTCGGTGGTATGAGTGTCTTTTGTAGATAGTCCAATATAGAAAAAGAAACCTCAACAGGAGAAACCACCAATTTAGCATAGCTCAAAACTCAACTTATATGGCAACGTAACATCTAATTGACTATGAAATAATCCTCTCCATTAAATATATACTTATCCGCTATTGATGCATGTTCAATTCTGGAGTCCACAATGGGCGAAATATACTAGCGCAAGTGATCATTCACCAAAATATATCTATCATTGTCATTTGAGCAAAGAGGAATTGCAGAATCCACAAAGCATAATTTAGATTGCCAAAATGTAGAACTCTTTGTTGGTTTGGTTCAGACCTAGTTCCTACATCATATGTCTCTGGATTTAAAAGATAGAATTATTGTCTGACATTCTTAATTGAATAACTGGACTTATTTCCTCGCATCGCCTTTAGTAGGTAGGTAAAAAAAAAAGACTACCATAGGGCACATGCCAAAGGGTCCGAGAGAAACGAACAAAAAAACACTAAATCAAACTACCGGCCCGCATAGAAAAAAGGGTTTTTTTTCTACACACCTGGCTCTAAACACATAACACAAAAGGGTTTCGAAGAGGATGAAAAAACCTTTGGGGGGACATTTTTTTATTAATGAGATTCATTATTTAGTGGGTCACCCCATTAGACTAGACAAAAAAGGAAGCTGGAACTCAACAAAGATCGCAAAGGTGATTAACTATGGTTTGTCGTTTAACTGCCATTTTTTTTTGCATAACAATAATCTATTAACAACTTTTTTGTTGGGTCTGACGCAGATTTATCAATTAGATAAAGAAAAATATATCGTAAATTATTTTAGCAGATTGGGCATTGTTATTGCTTATTATTATGTTGATTTTATCAATATTTTAATTTATTATGTTGGTGTGTCACATTTGTTCATGCAGTTATCCTATCAAAAATATAATATT